CCCCCCCCCCCCGCCACTGCCACCTCTGTTGTGGCCTCTTTGGCTGGCGCTGGGGGTTTTGTTTTGGAAGCGGTTTCAGCCAGCGTGGTAGGGGGCTTGTGGGGGTCCAGCTGGATTCCCTCCCCCCCAGCAAACGCAGTAGAGGAGGCCCCCGATACCTCAGAGACGATGGGGAGGCTCCGGATGCTCACCTGGTCCGTGTCGCCTTTGCCTTGGAAGTCGGCGGGGGCCGGACCCCTCCTGTCGTCGTCGAACACCGGCATGTACACCGTGTCCTCCGCGGGGATGGCGTACGTGCTGCTGTTGCTGTCCACGGGCGGTCGCAGGAGGTAAATCAGCTTCTCCCAGTAGGCAAAGAGGTCGTCGCGCGCCTCGAGCGGGGGACACAGCTGCAGGTAGCAGGAACGGCCGGTGGCGAACTTGAGACGCAGCTGCTGTTTCTCGCGGTCATGCACCGAGATCCGCACGAACTTCAGCGGAAGGAGCCTGGTGAGCTCCAAGGTCTTGGCAGCCTTGTGACTTTTCCCCTTGGCCGTGTGGCCTCGGCCCGCATCTTCACAGCCGGTGGCCGGGCGGGCCAGCAGCATGACATCCGGGAGCGGGAGGATGGGGCTGGTGCACGCGATGCCCACGGTCACCATGCGCACGCGGTTGTGCACGTCAATCACTTCCCCCCTTTTGGTGATCTGAATGAAGTCACTCTCAAAGATGGGCGCGAATTTGAAGATGTCATACTCTCCCTTGTACAGCTGGCGCTGCAGCTTCCCCATGGCCGTGTTGAACAGGCCCACTCCAGAGGCGCTCTGGGCGGTGTAGTACGGTAACAGAGAGTCACTGTTCATGGCCATCGTCAGTCCTCCTCATGTCTCTTACTGAGACACAGAGCGGGGAGGGGGGCCCTAGGTCTTTGTAGGCCTCAGGCAGAAGCAGCAGTGGGGCTCCTGGGTCACCAAGATGACCCTACAGCAGTCTCTGCACCTCTACTCACCCTGCGGCCCCCCTTTCCTTCAGAGCCTCCCAGAGATCTGGTTGGGAGCGGGAACACAGGGGGTTGACCCAGAGATGCGGTAGTTACTTGACTGAACCCCTCCAAAGCTGTCGAGAGGTGTGCTCTGGACTAACCCCCTTCCTCTACCTGGTTTTATATTTCACTGAGAGTCTACAGACCGTAGCATCAGTGGGAGAAGTGACTAAGACTTTCTCGCCTGAAGCCCCCCACGCAGCTATATTTATCCTCTGCTGTCCTTTGTGACCTGTCACTGTCACATACCCCTTTGTTATCATCTCCTGCCCATGTCCTGAGGGCAGGGTCACCATCCTCCCCTAAACACACAGTCCTCACAGAGGACAGGTCCTCCCTCCCCGCTCACCCACCCACACCCCTTCCCAGAGGCTCTGGCAAGTGCTTAAATAAAAATGTTTTCAGACGAGAAGATTCTGGATAGGCATTTCTCCATCCACAGCCCTCCACAACTTCTAAAGATTCAGCAACTGAACAGTCTAGGGGAAACTAGCATGATGGGGTGAGTGGGAACCATTTGAGCTCATTCTTTCATTTTACCAACTCATCTAGTTTCAGTGTCAGCCTTCGCCTGTCCTTCCGTAAAATCTCAGCAAATGTTGACCACGATCTTTAATAATAACCTTAACTTTCTTTCCTTTTTTTTTTTTTTTTGAGAGTTGTTTTCCTATAGGGCATTTGTGCTCACCAGAAGGACAGAGAGACAGACAGAAAGTGAGAAATCCCCCCCTGGGGAGATGGCCACGCCACAATCCCTTCTCCTCCATTCTCCTCTTGCGATCTTGGGCATGCACACACAAGCACCCGGCATGGATTTAAGCCACCGGGTCCATTACTTGAACCGCGGTCCAACGACATATCTTACACCAACTGCTGGTCCCAATAATAACCTTAACTTTTAACAGTAACATTAAAGTTTGCTTCTCCTAGCAACACACTGTATGTTGTTCCCATCTGGTAAGAACCCAGTTTGGTACCATTGCTACTAGCCCCATTTTATAGGTAAAGAAACCAAGGTTGTGTCACTTACCTACATCCGGGGTACTAATAGCTAGTGAAGGCGTTATTTGAATTGAGGTCTAGCTGATTCTAAAGTCTGTTTTTCTAAGTCTTTATAGTACTTTGCCCCACAAAGAAAGCTTGGGCCAACTAAATGTTTTTAAACTGCACTAATTTAACTGTCTTCAAGAAAGCCAATTCGGGGAATTATGAAAAAAATCAGAGAATTAAATTTTCTGCGTGTGTGTGTGTGTGTGTGTTATAGAAAACCCATCTCTTACTGAGACACAGAGCGGGGAGGGGGGCCCTAGGTCTTTGTAGGCCTCAGGCAGAAGCAGCAGTGGGGCTCCTGGGTCACCAAGATGACCCTACAGCAGTCTCTGCACCTCTACTCACCCTGCGGCCCCCCTTTCCTTCAGAGCCTCCCAGAGATCTGGTTGGGAGCGGGAACACAGGGGGTTGACCCAGAGATGCGGTAGTTACTTGACTGAACCCCTCCAAAGCTGTCGAGAGGTGTGCTCTGGACTAACCCCCTTCCTCTACCTGGTTTTATATTTCACTGAGAGTCTACAGACCGTAGCATCAGTGGGAGAAGTGACTAAGACTTTCTCGCCTGAAGCCCCCCACGCAGCTATATTTATCCTCTGCTGTCCTTTGTGACCTGTCACTGTCACATACCCCTTTGTTATCATCTCCTGCCCATGTCCTGAGGGCAGGGTCACCATCCTCCCCTAAACACACAGTCCTCACAGAGGACAGGTCCTCCCTCCCCGCTCACCCACCCACACCCCTTCCCAGAGGCTCTGGCAAGTGCTTAAATAAAAATGTTTTCAGACGAGAAGATTCTGGATAGGCATTTCTCCATCCACAGCCCTCCACAACTTCTAAAGATTCAGCAACTGAACAGTCTAGGGGAAACTAGCATGATGGGGTGAGTGGGAACCATTTGAGCTCATTCTTTCATTTTACCAACTCATCTAGTTTCAGTGTCAGCCTTCGCCTGTCCTTCCGTAAAATCTCAGCAAATGTTGACCACGATCTTTAATAATAACCTTAACTTTCTTTCCTTTTTTTTTTTTTTTTGAGAGTTGTTTTCCTATAGGGCATTTGTGCTCACCAGAAGGACAGAGAGACAGACAGAAAGTGAGAAATCACCCCCTGGGGAGATGGCCACGCCACAATCCCTTCTCCTCCATTCTCCTCTTGCGATCTTGGGCATGCACACACAAGCACCCGGCATGGATTTAAGCCACCGGGTCCATTACTTGAACCGCGGTCCAACGACATATCTTACACCAACTGCTGGTCCCAATAATAACCTTAACTTTTAACAGTAACATTAAAGTTTGCTTCTCCTAGCAACACACTGTATGTTGTTCCCATCTGGTAAGAACCCAGTTTGGTACCATTGCTACTAGCCCCATTTTATAGGTAAAGAAACCAAGGTTGTGTCACTTACCTACATCCGGGGTACTAATAGCTAGTGAAGGCGTTATTTGAATTGAGGTCTAGCTGATTCTAAAGTCTGTTTTTCTAAGTCTTTATAGTACTTTGCCCCACAAAGAAAGCTTGGGCCAACTAAATGTTTTTAAACTGCACTAATTTAACTGTCTTCAAGAAAGCCAATTCGGGGAATTATGAAAAAAATCAGAGAATTAAATTTTCTGCGTGTGTGTGTGTGTGTGTGTTATAGAAAACCCATGACAACCACTTCAGACAGTGGTTGGGGGTTGGGCTGTGTTGGGGATTAAATTATCCAAGGGGCCACTTCAGTTCTTCCCCTCCCTGACGCTTGTACAAACACCCTGTGGTCAGAGCCGTTATTCTCTTAAGGCACCACTCCCAGTTTCACCCTCCCTCTCCCCAGCCCCTGCCCAGTGAAATGCAAAAGGGAGGAGGGGAGGACCAGAAATGGAAGCTTGAATTCCAGGAGTCTATCGATTGCCTCCTGGACTAACCTCCCTGTCACGCAGAAATAATTTCCAGGTCGTTTACACCCATGGAAAGCATGTGCCATGATCCCTCTGCCATCCCCACAGAGCTAACCATGGAATCTGGATTTCCAGACTGTTCCCTCAAAGTTCTGAGAAGAACTCTCTGCTCCCAACTCCTTCCAGCTGGATAGTATGCCTGAAATTCTACCGTAGGGAGTCATTCCTTGAAGATGAAAGCTAACTCTTAATGTATACCTATCTGTCTATCAATGGATGGACGGATAAACAAAATATCGAGTATCCATGGAATGCAATTCAGCTCCCAAAAAGAAGAAAAGGAGTGAAATATCGATACATACCACAGCAGAGAAAAGCCTTGCTAACACTATGCTAAGTAAAAGAAGCCACAAGACCACATACTGTATGACTCGTTAATATGAAATATCCAGAGTAGGCAAATCCATAGAGACAGAAAGCAGATGAGTGGGTGCCCGGGGTTGGAGGGAGGGGAACGAGAGAGTGACTACTTAGTGTGTTGTGGTGATGAAAATGTTCTGGAACTACTTGGTGGTGACGGTTACACAGCACCATGAATGTACTTAATGCCACTTAATGGTGAGAATGAGAATTTTTACACACACACACACACACACACACACACACATTCTCTCTTTCTCTCTCAACCTTATACTCATTTGGAACCATTGTCTTTAAAAAGTACAGGCTTCAGGCTTTTGGTTTTGGCCTTCAGTCCAGAGAGGCCCAGTACAACTTTCTTTGGTCTTCCTGAATCCAGGTTCATCTAACACCAGCTGCCTCCTCCATGATGCCCAGGTTTAATCCCAATGAGATCAGAGTCCTGGGCATGGTGGCACCTACCCTATGGCAAAAGTCGTATACCTGAAGTTTATCAGTGGCAAAGTTGGTGCGATGTCCACCTTGACCCCTAAGATTGGCCCCTGGGTCTGTCTCCAAAAAAGTTGGTAATAATACGACCAAGGCAACCAGTGATCATCCAGAAGAGGCAGGCCCAGACAGAGGTGGTCCCTTCTGCCTCTGCTGTGATCATCAAAGCCCTCAAGGAACAGAAAGAAGCAGAAAAACATTAAACGTGGATAACCACTGCTTTTGAAGAGATGGTCAACATTGCCCAGCAGATGAAGCACTGATCTTTAGCCAGAGAAAACTCTGGAACCAGTAAAGAGATCCTGGGAACAGCCCAGTCTGTGGGCTGCAATGTCAATGACATCACAGACATCAACAGCGTGCAGTGGAACACCCAGCTAGTTCAGAAATACAAAGGAAAGGGAACCAGCAGTTAGTGTAATGGCTATGTCGCTGGACTCCCACGTAGTCAACCGTGGTTCGCGTCCCAGACCTGGTGGCTTAGAACTCACGCCGGGTGCATGTGCATGCGTGCCCAAGATCCCGAGAGGAGAATGGAGGAGACGGGATTGCAGCGTGACCATCCCCCCTGGGAGGTGATTTCTCGCTTTCTGTCTCTATGTCTCTGTCTGTTTGGCGAGTGCATGCCAACCAAGAAAAAAACATCGGCTTTAGTTTTAAAAAGGTCAAGTGTGTGACCTTGAGCAAGCTACTGAGCCTTCCACTTTCTTATCTGTGAAATGCGGACTCTAGGGGCCAGCAGAGCATGGTGGTTAAGGTGCTGGACTCCCACATGGCCAACCATGGTTCAAGTCCTGGACCTCGGGACTTGCTTTTTCACTTTCTCTCTCTGTCTCTCTTTGGTCAAATAATAATAATAAATAAATAAAATTAGATAAGTAATGCTAAAAAAAAAGAAAAAGATACTAGCAGGTGTTGTGAGGATTAAATGGGGTAATGCATATAAAGTGTGTATCATCTTCATATCATTGTTATGTTTGCCCTGCTCAATAAATGTTAGCTACCATTAGCATTGATCCTCGTTGGTCTTTTTAACTCAGTGTGAATTCTTGCCTGAGAGCAAAGGTTTCTTCAGTTTACTTGAGAGAGAGAGAGAGAGAGAGAGAGAGTGAGAGAAGGCATTTTTTTTTTTTTGGAGAGGTTTTTGCTATAGGGCGCATGCGTTTGCCAGAAAGACAGAGAGAGAGAGAGAGACAGAGAGACAGAAAGTGAGAAATCACTCCCCAGGGGGGACGGCCACACCGCAATCCCTCCTCCTCCATTCTCCTCCTGGAATCTTGTGCATGCACGAACACACACCCAGCATGAGTTTAAGCCACTGGGTCTGGGACTCAAACTGTGGTTGGCTACATGGGAGTCCAGCGACATAGCCATTATGCTAACCACTAGTCCCAAGAAGGCATTTTTTTTTAATGTTTATTTTTCCTGAGAGACGGACAGGCACCTTCAGAAGGGTCCTTACACCTCGATCCACCCCAGTTACAGCAGGCCCAGATCATAGGCACATGTAATGGGCCTGGAATGATCAAGGAGGTCCTGGGATGTGAACTCAGAACCTTTCCCATATGGAACCACTGTTACTGCTGTACCACTACCAGGCTCTTACCATGTGGGGGTCCTCCTGACCCAGCCTCCCAGTTAGTTGGGAGCACAGGTGAGTGCCCAGCCTGTTCTATGTTGGGTCAGGAATTGAACCCAGGTCTCCCATGTGGCCCTGGTCTCTGAGCAGCAGCAGCTAAGCAGAGAGCAGTTTTTGTAAGTTACATAGAAAAGTTTCTGAAGGGGCCAGCAGGTGGCATGGTGGTTAAGAGCGCTGGACTCCCTCATGGCTAACCATGGTTCGAGTCCTATACCTGGTGGCTTGCTTTCTTACTTTCTCTCTCTCTCTCTCTCTCTCCCCCTCTCTGGTCAAAAATAAATAAATAAATAAATAAATAAATAAATAAATAAATAAATAAATAAATAAAGTTAAATAAAATAATTCTTTAAAAAAGAAAGAAAGAAAGAAAAACTTCTGAGCTTAGAGCCACCCTGAGATCACAGAAGGATGTGCGATTTGCAAACATGGCTTCCTTTCAGGCAAATTCTGGATGGAAACATCTTCACCCTCCAGAGAAACAGGACTTGGAGGGGAATCAGAGGGCATGGCTGGGAAGAGCAGAGAAAGCCTGGCATGGACTTAGGTATCAAGGATTTAGTCAAAGCCCATGGATAGAATACATTAGGATAAAGATGGAAAATAGCATTTCAACTCTTCCTTTTGGGAAAAAAAAAAAGATTTATTTTATTTTATTCACAGTAGTGTGCATACAAAAGAAAGAGACAGACAGATGCCCCCTTAACAGGGTCTGGGTGTATTTCAGGTCCACTAGGCTGGAGATCCCACCCTTCAGTTAGCCACACGGCTTCTAGCACTGCAGTCCAACATGCCAACTGTGCCACCTCGGCTGGGCCAGTGTTTTAGCTCTTGGCAGAAAACGAAAGGATTCAATTCAAGAAACCCTGTCCTGCCAAACCCTTTAAAACTCTTCTCTGGGACTGGCCTTGTGGTCTAGTGGTTGAAGCAGCCAAATCCCACATGGCCAACCTTGGTTCAGGTCCCAGCCCCAGTGGTTTGAAAAACACTCTGGGCCTTGTGTGTGTACGCACCTCAAATCCAAACAGGATGGAGAAATGGGAGAGGAGATTGTAGCACAAGCACACTCCGTTGGGGGGGGGGGTGCTTTCTTCCTCCCTCTCTACCTCTCTGTGGCCAGCACCTGTGCCCTCAGGCAAACTTCAAAAACAAAATGAAACTCTTTACGCTAAGACAGTTGTCTGGTCAGACCTCAGGGAATGGCAAGCAGGGAGGTGGTGGCTCCCCTTGCTCTGCCAATGTGACATCACCAGTCACCAGGAGGCAGCTCAATGCAGTGTCAGATGAGGTGCTGGAGCCTGGCAGTGGCTCCAGTCAAGTCCGCACTCTCAGACCCCCGCACTTCCCTCTCCTTTGAATATGAAACAAGATGAACTAAACGACTTGATGGTAAACACATTCATCCTTTTCTTTATTAAAATATCAAAACATGAACTTGGCTACAGAAAACAAAACTATTTTGAACACATTTGTTAAACATACGATGACACCAGCCACAACAGTGCATTTCTCAGATCCATTTTTCCAGCCAGAGCCACCCCCTTCCTTCCTCTCTAATCCATTGTTGTCCGTGGCAGTTTACAAATTGCCTTGAGTTCTGTGACAGCGGGTGAGTGGCACCTCTATCCGTAACCAGAGTAAATGCAAGGGCTTTCCCCTCCACCAAGATAAGGAACACAGACTATCGCCTGAAAGAAGTGGCGAACGGCACTAACACCCGACGGCTCTTGACAGATCAGAAACAGCTCCTGAGACGCAGTTCAAGCAGCAAAATTAGGACACCAGTGTCACAAGTAATAGCGTAAAGGAACCATACACGTGTTCAAACGGACCCATTCACACGGATAAATTTAACATTTAATGAGCCCAGTGTCTCCCTGAAGCGTGGCCCTGGTAACAGAGTAGCCAATTTTTATTTCCGGCCTGTGAGTGTTATTAGGGGGCTTCAAAAAGTTTATGGAGAAATGGAATTTAAGTCCAAGCTTATTTTGGTGCAAAACAAGCTTTGAAATCCATGAGCAGATTTTTTTTTTTTTAATTGCCAGAGAGTACTTACCAGAGACAGAGACAAAGAAAGTGAGAAGCACCCTCCCCCACAGGGGGATGGTCATGCTGCAATCTCTTCTCCTCCATTTCTCCCTCCTTTTGGGACTTTGGACACATGCACGAATGTAACTGGTCTGTGTTTCAGCTGCCAGGCCTGGAACTCGAACTATGCACTCAGCCATGTGGGATCTAGCTGCCTTAACTTCCACACAGCCTGCTGGCCTGTATAATTTAATATGAATCTTCCATGCATTTTTGAAGACTCTTCATGTATACGTGCAAAGGAAAAGAACAAAGAACTCTAGTTCTATTCTAGACCTGAGACCTCCCCAGCCCTAAAAATCCAGCACATTGGGTGGAATACCTTTCTTTGATTCATATTCTCTCTTTCTTCCTGCCTGCTTCCTCTTCGTTTTTGATATTTGAGATACTTAATTGCAACAATGAGACACATTTGGACAGGTGTAATTCAAGTGAGTAATTCTTCTAAAGGAGTTCTGTGGCAGAGCATAAGGTGTCAAAAGCTCGGGTTGAGTGACAGGTGTATGCTTTAGGTATCTATCTATCTATCTATATATTCAGAGAAACCGAGGGTTGAGGTATTTAGCAATTCCGATTTCATACTGTAATTCTATCTTAACACCAAACAGTGGCTCTAAAGGATATACTTACTGCTGTGTTTCCAGGTTTGTTGATGAGAGACTGGGCATCCGGAGCCTGAGACTGAAGAATAGGTCCGAAAGTCAACTGTCCCTACAGGTGCAGCCCCAGAGAGCAAAGGAGGATAGCTGGAGAACATTGCCCATGATTCACTCCCGTGACAGAGAGAGGAGGGGTGAAAGATGGCTGGATCTCCCAACCCACAGACTGAGAAAACAAGCCAGCACAACACTTACGTCACCATGTCTTGGTTCCAATGTTTATTTTATCGACAGGGTAGGAGTACTAGGATAAATAAGTAATAATATTTGCTCTTACAGAAAACTGTAATGATACTATCGAGTAGGATTAAACACTGAGAATTTCACAGAAACATCAGAATTTTAACAGACAGTAGCCGGCGTCCTTGTGGCCAGTGGGGGTGACTTCCCACAGTTGCAAACGCTCTGGGCCAGATGTCTTACAACAGCCACGTGACAAAAACAATGCCATTAATATCCAATAATGTGAAGGCCCAGGCATCACCTGGTTTCAAACGCATCTCCGCTGCCTGTGGTTTTTGACCACAAGGAAAGGGAAACGGAATATTCTTTGGCTCTTAGGGCCTAGAAATAATTCCTGACCTAAGTCACTGAGTGGAGAGTCCTGACCCCTTGGAAGTTGGACTTTCTTTCTATGACACTGTGATCAAGCCTGAAACAGAGGACCTGTCCTCCTGCCCACGGGATTTGTGTTAATGCCTGGGCGCCTAGGGAAAGGGGCCTTCCCCATGGGTGTGGGGCTGTGTGCCAGCAGCAGGAGAATTCTGTTCTCTGGGGCTGACAAGCTCTTCTGGCCACCTGAACATTCTGTGAGACACTGCCCGTGTGACACACTCTCAGAAACCAGATCTGAGGAAAGTCACAGACGGGTCACACCAGCGTTGTGCAAAACAAACAGCACGAGAGCACGACATCTAGTTTTGAAACAAATGCCTTGCACACAGTAATTCCTGACATAACAGCATATTTGCTAGAAAGCACGACCCTGGCCATTCCACAACTTTGCTAAATGCCATTTTCACTCCATGTCCCCTACGAGGGACGGCGGCAGCCACCGAGGAGAAGATAGCCCCACCCCATCCACCCAAGGTAGACACTTCTGCACGATTCCTAATGGTGGGCATCTTGGTTTTTGTAGAATCCAGACAAAAGGTGAGCAGGACCCCAATGGTGGGGGGGTCATCTGGAGCATCTACAAATGGCCAGTAGGCTAAGGCCTAAATCCTGGGGTTGAGGCAAAAGATGCTCTTGCCCTGGTCCAAAGTTCACTCTGGGGCAGAGTAGAAAGACCCAGCTCAGTCACCCTGGGCCCTCCCACCTCGCTGGTTCTAGAGGTGAACAGGAAGTCAGCTCTCCAATGGCTTCAGGGTTCTAGGTGTGAAAGGACGATGAGGACTCCCCATTGTCCCACGCCACAGCTGCTTAGCTCTGCAATGTTCCTTCTTTAATCTGTTGGATAAAGAGGTTTCTCTCATCTTCTGGAGTCCGCCCGTTCTGAGCCCGGACAATACACGTGGGCCGGTGAAGGTTGAGCATGTATATCAAATGCTGCTTCTCGTTCTTGAGCTCCTCGATC